ATGCTAACAAGTTCTTTCTGGGAACAGTTAACTTAATCCTCCTCCCTTTTTTCCTATGAACTGGAAGGAAGTTAAGTTAGAGTGGCTATGTAGATGTGATCTATATCCCATATTTGTTCTTAAAGAAAAACTAATCAGCCTTTGTATCTTAACTTATAAAGACAGACAAGGGTGCATAGTATCACTTCAAAGTAAAAAGAGTTTTTCTCTGTTTAGTCTAAACAAAATATTTATCTTATTTCAAATAACGGTATCATCAGATGCACATGTGCTATAGGTAATTGAAAATGATGGCAGTAATAGTACTTATAATACTGGTTACAATGAAAAACACAGACACTCCTCTAGCAAACCAATGTGATTTTCTAGAGTCTGACACTGGAAACTTCAGGCAAACCCAAGCTCTGCCAACATTTACTTATGCAACCCTCCTTCTGTCATCACCTCAAGACTTTATAATCAAATAGTCCACGTCATGAAAATGGTAGAGAAAATTACAACCCTGAAAGTGTAAGAGTTGACTCACAACACAGGATTGTATAACTGGAAAAGCTGCACTGTGTAGAAGAGAAAAATGCTGTACCACACAGACAACATTAGTCAAATGCTTTAAAGATTCTGCTTTTCAAACTGCTTTATAATGGGATATTAATGCTAGATAGGGAAACAGAAAGCAATAGTAGGCACAATTAGATCTATAATTTATAGACAAGCCACACACAAGAAAAAAACACACACTTTATGCCAGGATCTTCACTCTTTGTTTAGCAAAGAAAACACAGAACGTGCTACTTTCTGTCAGAGAAACTATTTTTATAGGCAATTGGTAAAAAAGGCTATGGCATTTAACTCTCGAGGTTTTGTGTCAAACAGTAAATCACACAGTATGAGAAGGACTCAGACTGAAGCAGCATAAGAAAGGAATTCAGAAAGGGGAATGGCAGAAACTAGAGCCTTACTCTTCTGGGACTCCGAGTCAGTGATCTCAGGGACTGAATGCATTACTGTGCAATCTCTGTTTTAGACTACAGTCTGCACTGCTAAATGATTTCTGTACCAATTGTCTCTACATATTGAACCCAGGGTCTTGTGCATTCTAAGCAAATGCTCCAAATTTCCATTCAATACTAGGAATTCTGAAGCTATCTTAAGTACCCTCTAACTTTAAAAAGTTCTTTTCTCATAAAATGGCAGTAAATAATGACTTTCATTGAATTATTCACCCACACTTTAAATCCACATTTAGGTTATGTATTATTTAACTACCACTACCTAACAACTTACCCCAAAACTTGGTGGCTTAAAGTAGTAACAAACATTTGTAATCCCAGTTTCTGTAAGTTAAGAATTTGAAAGTGGCACAGATGGGTGGTTCTCTCTGAAGGTTTCTCACGAAGCTGTCAGGATTCTGGCTGGGGCCACAGTCAACTGATCATACCTAGTACCTAACCTGTGGTCTCCAAGTAAATTTTCCATTAAAACATAATCATTCACAGAAAATATGGGGCAAAACAAGCTAATAAATACCACAAAGATAAAACTGGCAAGTCCAGAATTTGGGGAATTCCACAGGACAAATAGCCCAGGGGGAACTGAAGATTTCCAAAGGAGTCACATCTACATTCTAGAGCCAGTAAACTGTTTGATCTTAGCTGACTAGAAGATGGACATCTTACTAGATGGAATGATGCAGATAAAGAGCCAAAGTTATCTTGGGCTACTGTTAGTCCCTTATAATAACTGTTTATTACCAACTTCTATATCTGACCCATCATTCTTATAACTACTAGGTGAAACTTTTGGAAGGTAGGCATGGTGGCACAAACCTGTAATCCCAGCACTCTGAAGGGCTGAAGGCTGGGAAATTCAGTAATTTAGTGAGACTCCTTTCTCAATAAAAGGAGGGGTGGGGCTGGGGCCCGCAGTTCCATTCCTAACACTATAAAAACAAATAAACAAACAAACAACCTCTTAGAATATAGGCAGACAGATCTCTGGACTCCACTAACACTAAAGTTAAGAAGGTAACACCTAAGTGACAGTTCCCCTCCTGTTGTAGATGGGCTACTTGCTGATCCCATCTACAGTACTTTCTTCTGTTATAAAAGCTCCGGTAAGCGTAAGTGGACCATGTCTTTCAGGGGACCATATCATTCACAGTAGCTTGAATCTGTGTTTCCAGCCCACTCATATTTGGTTCAGAATAAACTATTTTCCTATTTCCTTTAGAGTTGTTATTTTATGTCAGTATCAGTTTCTTCAAAAAACAGTAATGGCTGGAGATATAGCTCAGTGGCATAAGTGCTTGCCTGGCAAGCCTGAGGTCATGAGTTAGATTCCTGGTACCAAAAAAAAAAAAAATAATAATAATAATAATAATAATTCAAATTACTTTAGGTGCTGGAAATTTAGCTCAGTGGCACAGCACCTGCCCGGCAAGTGCAAGGTCGTGAGTTTGATTCTCGGTACTGGGGAAAAAGCAAAAAAAACAAATAGTAGACTTGAAAACAATCCTTAATGAAACAGAGGAAGGACTGTTGTAGATTTAAATATCTTTTTTTTTTTTTTTTTGGATTTTTCTCCAGTACCGGGAACCGAACTCATGACCTTGCGCTTGCCAAGCAGGCGCTTTTGCCGCTGAGCTAAATCCCCAGCCCTTAAATATCTTTAAGAGATATAAGGAACACATGTAATGCATGAACCTCAGTGAATCCTAACTCAAACAAACACTTGCTATAAAACACTAGGAATTTTGAATAGGGATTAAGAAACTTAATTTTTATTAAGACAGATGATCTTTGGGGTATGAAAAAATCCTAATCTCTTAGAAATCCAAACTCAAGTATTTATGGGTAAATGATATGGTATCTGAGATTTCTCAGAAATATACAACAAAACAGTCTAACCTAAAGCAGTGGTTTTCACATTTTATAGCATTTAGAGGATTTTAATCAGTCGCTGTACAAGACCTTACTTCACACACCGATGATTACAGAGTAAGTAATCATCACTGTAAGAGACATGTTTTTAATATATGTGAACTCCCAGAACATTGTCAACAAAACTCCAATTCAACATTTTTTACACAAATACCATGGGATACTTCATCAAATAAAAGCTTTGTTAAAAGGTTGATAGCCTGTATCAATGCCATTTCCTTTACCTACTAACAGTGTGAGCCTAACAAAAGGAATAAAAGTTAAATCTGGCATGACTTGTGGAGACTAGGGGTTGACCAGTGAGAGTGAGATAAATAGAGAAGCTGGATTCTGGTATAGGAGGCCTGCGTCTTTGGTCCACTTTACTTCACTGAGGGACTCAGAGAAAGACACATATGAGTGAATAAGAGACAGAGAGGAGACAGCAAAGCTAGGCTGTAAGGTAAAAACTGGCTGAGTAGAGTTACCAAGGAGAACAAAGAAGAACTGAGTAAGAAAAGAAGAAAAAGTAAAGTGCTCAGGCTTCCATTACCCAAAGGGTGAAAAGACTTGACCAAGATAGGGCAGGCCTGGGAAGTGAGAGGGAAGATGGGCAATGAGGATGAAATGCTTTCACATGAGGTTTCTCTGATGGAGGTTAGAGCTGAAAAGAGGGAAAAGGACAGAGACCATCACATATCACTTTTCCAAACTTGTACTTTTCTGGCCATTAAATTGGGTCCCAGGAGGAATTCTCTTCCTTTAGCCCTTGATAATTTCTTTTTTTTCTTTTTGTACCGGAAATTGAACTCAGGACCTTGCCCTTGCCGGGCACTGTGCTGCTGAGCTATATCCCCAGCCCGCCCTCAACAAAATGTATAAGGATGACTCTGCCCATCACAAAACAATGCATTACCAAAATAAACAGAACTGCTGAAATTCTTCTGAAGTACTTTCCACATTATGAAGAATTATCCCCCATCTATGCCCAAGAAGGCTTTCCCACCCATACCAATGTTAGGCAACTCTTCTGGAACAGATCTTCCTGAGGTCAGCTGATTAACTCCCTTTTCTACTCTAGGAATTTTGAATCCAGAAGCAATTTCCAATACATGAAATCAACAGTAAGACTTCTTTAGAGGCTGCAGGTATAGTACAGTAATGTCTGCCTCGTTAGTATATGGATCCCCAGTACCACAAGAGGGGAGAGAAGGGTAGGAGTGGAGAGGGGAAAAGAAGGGAGGAGGGGAGGTGAAAGAAGAGGAGGAGAGGGAAGGGGTGGGAAGTGGAGAGGAACAGAGTCTCTAGCAAGTGTCTCATCTTTGCGATATATTGCCTGCACCAGAAAAAACACATAGGAAGCTCGGAGCATATGTGGTTTCTGAGATAAGCCATCTATACTGGAATTCATAATCTTATTTTGTGGCATAATTTATTTCATAGTTATACGGAATAACAGTATTTTAACCAGGTGTGCAGCTATACTGGTATGTACTTCATGACGATTAAATCTGGGAGGTTCTCGTGTCCTATGCTGATTTGAAAGTGACGCTGAACACCACGAGGCTGTAGACCTCCTACCTGACCAGACATCACTGGGCAACACCGTATGAAGGAATACTCTTCTAAAGCCTGTGAAGTACCATATGAAGAGCATTTAAGGAGGACAAGCTGAAAAGTATTATGTCAAAACCAAAATACTCTGTACAATTATTAAATATAGTAAGTAAAGTGGCATGTATTAGCCAGGCACTGTGGTATGTACATGTGGTCCCAGCTACTTGGGAGGCTGAAGCAGGATATCTCTTGAGCTCAGGAGTTTAAGACTAGCCTGGGTAACACAGCAAGAGCCCACCTCAAAAGAAATGTTAGTAAAGAAAATATAAAATAGCACAACCCATATCAGGCAGAGCATGACAAACTTCTTACCCAGTAAAATGTTATTTTAAATTCTTCCTGAGTATTCAGTAGCAGAATGAACTGAAACTGAAATTCCTATATGCTTGTCTACTATGTAGTCCCAGTGTTAATTAATATTTGCAGAAAAAAGCATTTTCCCTATACACAAAAGCATTATAATACCTCATGATGTCCATTTATCACAGCATCATGTAGGGGAGTGATCTGGTACATTCCTCTGACATTTACATCTGCTCCACCTTTTAATAGTTCATTTGCTGTCCGATAAAATCCCCCAACACTAGCTTCATGAAGTGCTGTCCAACCTATACAAAAAAAGAAAATAATATTTATTTATATTTGGCACCTTAACACTATTTTGTACTTACCCTTTAAAAATTTTAATACTAGGTTTCTTTACAAATATACCACCATCAATGCACTCTGCATAATTTGATAGATTCAATAAATCTGAGTGACAAATCAAATTCCTAACCCTCAATCCCATTACAAAAAATATGAAAAGAAGTCAAATATTTTTTTTTTTCTTTTTCTTTTTTGGTTTTTCTCCGGTACCGGGAACCGAACTCACGACCTTGCGTTTGCCAGGCAGGCGCTTTTGCCGCTGAGCTAAACCCCCAGCCCCAGAAGTCAAATATTTAAAGTGTTCTTGACTCCCCCATATAAAAAGCTGTGTAGGTTAATTTTTAGCTAATAAAGCATACTGGCTGCAGGCTACTTTTACGTATAGAAGAGGGGGAAGGCTTTATTTCTACTTCACTGTACTTCCATTAAAGTAATTCAGGTAGCATGACGACATCATCAGTCAGTTCAAAGGTATATATTTCTTTTTCTCCTTATTTGCAAACACATTTATTTATAGTAGCTCAACTAAAATATCACAAGTTGCTCCAAGAAAACCATTTGTCCCTTATATAAAAATAACCTTTGTTTTGTTAGCCAAAGACAATGGAGTAATGTACAGGTAACTGTTTAATTCTAATAAATCATATGATAGATATAAGAGAACCTAAAAAACTGTATTTCAGTTGCTCTTTTCACAACATTCTTCACTAGAATGGTCAGCAGCACCCCTGGCCTCAATGTACCACACGCATCTCAGTGGCAACAACTAGAAATGCTTTAAAAAAACATCCAAATGTACCTTGAAAGGCAAAATCAACCCAGGTGAACATCACTGCCATAAAACTTTACTGAGGGAGTTTCTGCTGCTAGACTGTTTATGAAGCCTTAAGGAAGAAATGAAAACACCAAAACGGTAAATATACAGTTAGTAGAGCTTTATTTTCACTATACATTTCCTTTAAATGCACATGGCTATATACAGAAAAAAACTGTAACATTATACATTGCTATTTACACTGTATAGGGATCATAAAGGATAACATGGAATCACTGTTCTTCATTTTATAGTGAAGTTATTATAATACTAACTCTAAGAAGGCTGACATACTAGAGGTGTATACATAATCTTTACAATAACCACTGAGGGAAAATGCAAAGACAAAATAAACACAGATGATACAATGAGGAAAATGGCGGTCTTAAATCCAACCTTTTATATTAAATGTAAATTGACTAATTATTCTAATTTCAATTAAAAGGCAGATGTGCAGAATGAATTTTAAAAAGCGAAACTGTACACCAGTTAGAAGAAACATTTTAAATATAAAGACACAGGTGGAAAATAGAAGGGTGAAAAAAAGTTAACAAGCTATAAACACAAAATGGTTAGGATGTCTGCATTTATGTCATATATGGCAGACTTCATGACAAAAATGTATTTACTAGCAATGAAGAGAGACATTTCATAATGATGAAAATAATCATTTTATCAGAAAATGTGACAATTACAACTATATATATACCTAATAACGGAGCTTCAAAATATAAGCAAAAATTGACTGAACTAAAAGGAGAAATATACAGTTCCACAAGTACAGTTGTGAAGATTTTTAACACCTCTCTAAAGAAAAGATGGAGCAGCAAAGCAAAATAATCAACAGACATACATAACCTGAACTACATTACCAACACCTTCTTCTAACTGACTTACATAGAATACACATTATACCTAACAACTGAAGAATAAACATTCAACTACATATAGGATATTCACCAAGAGAGACCATATACTAGGCAAGAAATGAATTCTCAATAAATATCAAAAGATCAAAACCATGAAAAGTATACACTTCGACTATATAGTTTACAGTCAAATCAGAAATCAATAACAGAAAAATATCAGAATCTCCAAATTCTTAGAAATTAAATGTCTAATATAATCACTAGATGGAGGACAAATCTACAAGAAATTAAAAATACTTCAAACTGATGACACTGAAAATAAAGCATCAAAATCTGTGGGATGCAGCTAAAGCAGAACTTAGAGGGAAATGTAAAGGGTTAAATGCTCACAACAGAGGAAAAATATACAAAATCAATGACTTCATTTTCTACCTTAAGAAGCTAGAAAAAGAGTGATGTGAGCAAGATGGCTAGGTACAAGGGCTTGGCCCACTTCCCTCCAGGAAAAAAAAAAAGACCAAAACAAAACTAAAAATATTGGCTATTGCACTGAAGTGTTTGAGGGAGAGTGGAGAAGTATATAGGGATATGACAGGCACACTGCAGACCCAGGAGGGCCTTACAGTAAAGACAATTAAACATATAGCCTCTACTGTCCCACTTCCCCAGTTGTGATCATCCCCAAATCAAGAGGGACTTCACTGGGCAGGGAATGGGTAAGCAGGAGGTCCCCAGCCATACCCACTAATGCCATTGACACCCGAAGTATTTGCGGTTGGGAGAAACCTGCAGCCCTTGCAGGTCTTTTACCATGACAGGCACATTACAAAATTGATAGAAGCAACTGTTATTCCTAAGATGCAAACATCAACCCAGGGACACAAGAAGCCTAGAAAAAGCAAGGCAACATGATACCTCCAAAGAAATGCTGCAGAGCACTGGGGAGTGCCTCCAGACTGACCTGGTAGAGTTCAGAGTGTGGCCCACCATTGGGCACCAGGCTAGAAGACTTGGTGATGATCAGGAAGAAAGGCCACAGAAGAGAAGAGAGAAGCGTGTGTAGGTGCTGAGGAAGACAGAGGGGCACAGGAGGTAGCCCAGCATCCAGATGGCCCCACCCCTGGGCAAAGGGACTCTGAAAAAACTCTGTGGCACCAAACCCCAAAGAAAAGGCAATCATGAGTTGCCCGAAAAAGAATTCAGAATACTGCTATTATGGAAACTCAATGAGATAAAAGAGAATACAGATAAACAATTCAACAAAATCAGGAAAACAACTCATGAATTGAATGAGATATTCAGCAAAGAGACGTGATCATAAGAAAGGAGCCAAAAATGAAGTTTAGACCTGAAGAATTTAATAAATAAAGTATAAAATGTAGCTGAGTCTCAAAAACGTAACAGATCAAACAAAAGGAAAAATATTTGAGCTTGAAGACAAGCTTTGAAATAATCCAGTTAGACAAAATTAAAAAGAAAGACAATGGGATGATATACTCAACACCATGAAAGAAAAAAACTGCAAACCAAAAATATAATACCCAGCAAAGCTATCTTTCAGGAATAAAAGAGAAATAGACTT